CCTGATGATGGAGGCAGTATGACCTCTGAAACGTTGGTTAACATCGACCAGACTACACGGCGCAACAACCCAGAAGACGGAAATCTTCATACTCATCGCCCTGATGATGGAGGCAGTATGACCTCAGAAATGTAGGTAAACATCGACCAGACTACACAGCGCAACAACCCAGAAGACAGAAATCTTCCTGCATCTTGTTCAATTATGACAGTACGTGAGTTAACGAACAAATTGTTACAGAATTAAACATAATAATTTAATGAGTTGTCATATAATCGGTTGAGGTGTTTGTCAGTACTTAATTTTTTACATTAATGTCCTCATTCTACCATTCGGAGTGTTGGAATTTATTTAATGGATTTTCAGACTTCAAAATTGGCTTTATGCAGGTTCATGGACCGTAACAAGATGCGTTTCCTACAGTCACATAAGTAAAGAGAAAAATACAGTAAATAAAACTTATCTTACAATACTCGTCTTTAATGTGTTTGATGCTAGAGGACATTCCAATGAATCTCATTTCTTGTAGAAGGTGCTCCAGTTGCCGAATTGTTCTACAAATCTTAAAAATAAATCTTTCCCGGTTTTTAAGTAAGATGCCATAATGTTGTCCACAAAATCTCCACACTTTTTCTTTCAACACTAGATACAGGTGAGCAGACAATTTGATATTTTTTTAGTGTCAACATTTAACTTTTTTAAGTGAGTTACCTTCCTCAAATTAAGTGCTGAACAACTGAGGTACCTCAGCTAGTATAGTGACTAACTGTGGACTGGATAACTGGGGTTCAATCCCCAGCAGGGGCAGAGTATTTTTCCTGTAGCCTCTGCGTCCAGACCCAGCCTCCTTTCCAATGGATACCGGGGTCTTTTCCTGGGGGTAAAGTGTGGCCAGGGCGTGATGCTGACCACTCACCACTATCTAGTGCTGAGGTCAAGAATGAGTAGGAGTTATACCTCCTCTTCCCCCCATGCGCCTCCATGTTGTATAGCGGGACAGCTTTACTTTTTTACTTTTACAACAGTATTCTTCTACAGTCCCTGCAGATATTTCCAGGCATCAAAATGTGCCCGTAATTTCCGTCAGTTTGACGAGCACTCTCCAGCTGCAGCGAGTGGAGTGAAATATCTGGAGCACATGCACGTTATGGCAAATGGAGACTTTCATTGTGTCGCACATTCTTTTAAGCAGTTAGTAGCCACGGTCGCTAGTAATGTGAGTGTGGGCCACCTGTTAAATTTCGGAAAGCCCACATGCACATCACATGGCCCGAAGCTTCCTTGTCTTCTTTCGTCTTGTACTTTTCAGGATACGAGGTAGTTAAGGAGAACATTTGGTGTCCTAACTAGGAATGTTTTTTAGATCCCATATTCCCTTACAAAAAAATGTTAATTTCATTGAGCAAGTTAATTTGCATATTTTACATTTCATATATCGTAATCACTTCGTTGTCCGACATGATGTGGACTGCGAGTGTAATCAGATTATGTCATTTAAGCCCAAGATTTTAGACCTGTTTTTACAGGTCAGGTAGTTAGAATTCTAAGATAAACTGTGTTTATCAAAATGTGTTTTGTTCCGTTACATTAGCTAATGCAATTTTAGATATTGGTCTTACTATATTATTTGGGATAATCAACATAATGTCTGTATGAATTTCTTAAAATTAATATCGCCAGAACTGAAATTTCTGAATTGTAAATGTAATATTCCGGTATGACACAAACACGTAATTAAATCTTAGTAGTACTGAGTATATGAGTCAGGTCCATACCCGTATATATATATTTATATATCCTCGGAACGCAAGCAAACATTAAACCGGGTTTTGTAATAATTCAGATTGTATCAATGTATGGTTTCCTCATTCTGTTTACAACCGAGAAATAAATATTCTTGATTTAAATCTTTGATTTATGTGCAAAAATAACCAGAAATATTTATCAAGTTCATAAATGTTTGTACTTCGGAGATAAGTTTTCTGTTTTATAATCAGGAAATAAAAGAAATTTATTGTACCGATCGTAATTTTCTGGGCTGCGATACCTTGCGGTCGTGACGTGGTTACCGATGATCTGGGGGATGAACATGGCTGTCTTCTGGGTTCTTTCGCTGTGCAGTCTGGTAGAAGTTCGCCAACATCTCGGACACAACAAGCACCTTTGAAATGTCACTAAACTTCTGCTAGACTACACCATGTGGGAACCGAGCAGCTAATGACCACGACAACCTGAAATCTCGCCATTTTGGAGGATCGTTGGTAACCATCTTCAAGGTTACATAGCATCATGACCCAGAAAATTAAAATTGACTTCTTCACTGCCATGAGATCCTCAAGTCTCAAAAAATTATTCTGGCTTTCTGTCAAGTGATTGTGTTACTCGGTTTTCCTCAGTGTAAATACTGAATTCCTTATTGATTTTCACACCAAAAATATTTTATTCTGTGCCAATTTTAGGTAAAATGAAACGTAACTTACAATTCACACAGTATTTGAAAGTAAGATTTTTAATCTTCCTCATCTGAGTTAATTATGCAGTAAACTGGAGGTCCATGTCTTTAAAAGTCCTTGTGTGATGAGTTTTAAAAATAATTGTTAAACATTTTGAAGGCAAAATATAAAATTTTGGAACCTGAGGACATCACAATGGTGAAGACGTCCACGTTGATCTGGGTCATGATGCCATGTAGACTTGTAGGTTGAAGATGGGTGCAGTATGTTCCTCTTAAACATTGATACCACTGGCGGAGCACTCATATTAACTGCATTAGACCAGCTAACACTTTTAGAAACAGAAAATAAAAAGTCAGTGTTACTTCATACATTGGACACAGCAGATCTTATCATATTAAATGCATCAATAGCCGGCTTCATCCAACTGGGTGCTTGCTGTGAGTGTAAGCCTCAACTAACCAGCTAACACATGGCTGGATGTGACTAATGATGCACGTCGTCTGATTGATTCTGCTGTGTTCCATAAAGGAAGAAGTTTTTTTTATGATTATTATTTTTAAAGCATTAGCCAAGCTAACAAAGTTAACAGAATGCCATGCCCCTGGCCTCTACTCACGTGGTATCACAGCTCAGAAGACCACCATGAACACTTTCAAATTGCACCTGATCTTCAACCAGAACAGCGTATTTTAGTTTAAATCTGGAGTCGGATACATCATTGCAGTATTGATGAAAACTGTTAACTAGTACTTCCATAGACTTAAACCAGGAATGAAGAAAGCTTTCATGAGTCCAATTAAACCTACTGTGGTTAACACGAAGTGTTGCTAATTTCCTTTGTTTGTGGCCATTATCACAAAATGTTATGCCCAAAAACAATCAAATTCAATGTAAAATACCAACCTATTTCGACGAGGCGGGAAAATTACACTACGATTTGGTAACCGTAATGGAAACCTTCTTGATCTTACGGATGTAATAACGAGATGTGTTCCAATTTCATGTATCTTAATTAAGGTGGCGTAGCACGATGAAGCTTGCAGGAGCTCAGTTGCGGTCGCTAGTGATGTAAGTGTGGGCCACCTGTCAAATATCGGAAAGCCCACATGCACATCACACGGCCCACAACTGCGTGTTGATAAATTTGTCCCGTGATAAGAAAAATGTTGGCAACACAATATTATTTCAAGGTTTTATCGCCAATACCCACTGTAAGAATAAGAATTCAAGAATGTACCACGCCGATGCGTGTCAAAACATTCTCTCTCGCTGTACTACTTCTGATTAAAATAACAAATTTTGTACCTCTGGTGATAACCTCCATTTTTGTGTCGTGTGCTACCTGGACGTGTGAGTGCTTGGCGGTCAGCTTAGCGTAGCTTATTTGATGTGTATCTTCAGCCAGTAGCTCGGCAATGGTGGGTGACGTGCTGGATCAGCATGCCTTGGCTTGTTGCTTCCCAGAGATACATGACACCGAAGAATAATGTCGTGTCAGCGGTCTCTCGCTTTTCACGTGCCTGGCTAGCGTCGACGAGGTAAGAGGAATAATAAATGCATCCGTATAATTTTCACGGCATTAATGCACACGTTAAAATCATTTCTGTTTTGTAAACTCTTTATCAGTGTACTTCATATCGATTGGTCAAACCATCCACGATATAAAAAAAATGACTAGTCAACATCCGATCATGGTTTTATTTCGATTATTTACTTCAGTGTTTTAGCAGCTGGTTGCCGTTAACAATCAGTGGCGTATCATTGTCTAAAAGTCAGGTCGTTTGGAAATGCAATAGCCTGATATTAAATATCCCCAACAATCGCACCACAGTACTAAAGTATTTTAAATAATAATATGCCTCCCTCTGTGGTGTTAACAAGAAATGTCTTTACGTTCCTCCAATTATGTTGATCTGGCAGTAGACTGTTTGTCCAACTGGGGAGTTGGCATTTGGTTGTCGACTCATTCGGGCCACCAGCTATGCTGCTCAGGCCTCCAGCGCTTTTCTCAGGCTTTAAAGACAAATGCCGAGCGGGACAGTAGACATTCGAATATACCACATCGACT